GTAGTTTTGCCACCGAGCCAATACAAAGTTTGAAATTCCCCTTAGTAGTTTTCACACAGAAGCATAGTAGTTTTGCGGCAGAGCCAATATAAAGTTGTGACATCGTGCTTAGTAGTTTCACACCGAAGCATGCTAGTGTTGCAGTGGAGCCAATGCAAAGATTGACATCGCCAACGGCCAGTGAAGCATTTCATCTTGCAGCTGTGATGTGCCACCTGCCGTGACGGCACATGTGTTTCTTCCTAATTCAAAGGGCCTTTCCGGCCACATGCGGCCCCCCCCTGCACCCCCCGGAATCAAGGTTGACGAAAATGTCTTGCTGTGAAGACCTGACGCTTTGGAAGTTGGCTGCTGCAGTGATTAACACCAGGAAACAACATTGATCCTGGGGGTGCGGGGGGGGAGCCGCTGCTGTGACCCTATACGTGGGGCCTCGTGCTGTGTGTGCAAAAGGTCTGAATTTGGGGTCGCTAACGGACGCTGATTTCAGCCCTCTTCATTGAGGGCCCTCCTTGTGACAACACAAACCTGCATGATGTGGAGAGATAACCAGCAGTGTTTTTCCATAACAGTGTCATAACACAAACCCACATGATTGGACGGCTCATCATCATTGTTCGGTCTTGCCTGCTCCTCACAGGTCGCCTCTCCTCGATGTTTTTTCCTGGACGCAGCCATATGAATCAAGTCTTGCCGCGCTGACTGCATGCAACAGCAATATAGTTTTTGTTTTTTGCATGAGCCAGACATGAATTTGTATGCTTTGAAATGCCGAGGCCATGCTTTGGCCGCACTCATTAGGTCATCTTCCTTGCTTCCATTCGAATTCAGCTGTATCAGACAGCATTGGTTTGACATGACACGAATGTTTTCAATGAGTCTGCCGACAGATAGTTTTTCTGCGGTCAGTCATGCAGCCGCCCTGTGGTGTGGCCGAAGGCACATCTGATGCCAGGGTGTCAGACTTGAAGGAAGCCTTGGTGCAGAACGGCAAAGCACTGAAAGCGGCTTATCGGCAGAATGCCAAAAAACGGAAAAGGTTGCACTGTGCCGGCCTTGGAGTGGCAGCCCGCAAAATTGTGGTAGCTGTTTACATGCTGTCGAATTTTAACATGGATTTGACTCTCCGCATGGCTTGTGCTTTGACAACGATATCCTATGGCAGCAATGGGTACCCACGGCAGCTTTGATCCAAGAGATGTTGCTGACGACGCCGCTGCCAGATTTGACCGCTTTGGATGACACAGCTTCACGCAAAGCGCAAGCCTTCCTGGCCGAAGCAGCCACGGAGCAGTGGGTCTATGACTGCAATACGAATCATTGTCAAGCACCTTCTGCGATGGACACGTTTTTGAAGTGGGAGGAGGCCTTCCATGGCCAGAAGCTGGACATGGGTGTGCCAAACAAACGCATGGTCAATAAGTGGGTGCAGCGCTGGCGGGCTCGGTGGGGCGTCCGCCGGAAGGTGCTGAAGCAAGTTGTTAGCAGAGACCCCGCTGTACTGCGCGACAAGGCGCGGGCCAGCCAACTTACAACATTTTGTCTTCTTTTTTTGGGTTGGTGGCTCCATTTTTGGGGCCGGAATGTGGCCCCAAAAATGGGTCCCCCTCATGTTTCATGCCTGTATAAGCCTACTTAATCCCGGTTGGGCGGTCCCATTTTTGGGGCCAGAATCTGGCACCAAAAATAGGCCCCCATTTTCAATCAATTTCTTCCCTCGGAATTATATTTGGGGACCCTATATATAATAAGGCTTTGTCTTTCACTTCCTGCAACGCTCGAGCAGGTCATGACATTTTGGCGGGCCATCTGCTATTGCCACAGCAGGCTCGCAGACAGGGAGCTACTTTTTATAAATCTGGATGAGACTAGCGTCGGCCACACCATGACACCGCCTATTGGATGTGTGGCAAAGCCACGGACAGCAGGTGGCAAACAGCCGCATGCACAGGTGCTGAAGCAACATGTTCGAGGTGCGTGGACTTACTTATGTCAGCGTGATTTGCAACTGCAAGCACATCCAAGGGAAGTTGCCTCATTTTTTCATTGGCACCCAGGTGAAACTCACGAAGAAGCTCTTGCGCGCCCAGCGCGCTTTGCCACAAACTCGTTTGCGTGTTTTGCGGCAAAAGTCCGCTTGGACCTCTGCTGCCAACAGTGCCCAAATTCTCAAAGAGATCGCAGAAGTGCTGAAAAGTTTTCCGTCAAAACAAGGCGTTGTACTCCTTGATTGTGCGCCGGCACACCTGCCACGGCAGGTCATGGCAATGGCACGCAAGTGCAAGCTGCAGCTTGTATATATCCCAGCGCAGACAACGGATTACCTACAGCCGCTTGATCTGCAAGGCTTCTCCCCTTTTAAACAATATTTGAAAAGGAAGCACCAGGAGTTGCGCTCATATTCAGAGCACGGTTTAGTGCCTCCTCTGGCCTGGCTATGGCAGTGCATGCAAGCCCCTCACGAATTTTGGGCAGCTCGGCAATGGCAGAAAAGCTTCGATGCAGTGGGCTGCAATGGCCCAGGTCAAGTGCACAAAGCGCTTCAACACTTGATGGGTGCAGGGGTGCCTTGGCCTGGGCCTGACAGGCCGACACCCCAGCAGATGCAGTGCGTTTGGCCAGCGCGACGCCAAATGGCGCACGCGTATAAGGTTCTTTTTCTTTGATGCTGCCGCTCCGGGTGGATCCAACAGATTTGCAGACGTGGGTGGCACTATAGGACAAAGATTTTTTTTCCATAATACTATGGGGGTACATGGTACGGGAGTCCCTTTGGCATCACTTTTCAAGCCCCCAGTTTTGGGCCCCCACCGGCCATGTTTTGTCACACTATCTTCCAGTTGTGCAGTTTGAGAAAATTGGCATGGAAGCTGTCCAGACGGCATGGCTTCTGCAGCTAGCACGGCTCACAGCTCGTCGCAGAAAACACAATTTGACTATATCTATAGCCATGTCCTCTGCCGCCGCTGGTATGGAAAGGGATGCTGCGGAAGGTGCTGCTGTAGCCCATGTGCCCGGGATGGATGACCGTATAGCTGCTTTGAAAGCTGAAAGGCAGGCCTTGAAACGCCAGCTGCAGCAAACCAGTCGAGAAGTCAAGGCCCAGGCTGGTTCAATTTCATCCTTGTGTGCCATGTTTGTGTTGGTGAAGCTGTATTGACATTCCATCGTGCCACTTGCACCTTCATCTTTCCCATCTCAGGTTTTTTTTGGTGAAGCTGCATTGCACCTGCATCGCACCACTTGTACTTTCAATCTTTTTGTTTCAGCTCTGCGCCGGGAGAAAAAACGACGCAGAGTCCTGAAATCGGCGGGCAAACTGAGCACCCAAGACCTCTCGTGGCTCCTGGCCTTCAAAATGACCCGTCAGCAGTAGCAGCTTCTTCAAAACTATATGTCTCACTGAAGCACTTGTGATTGCTGTCTCCCGAGGAGTCAGCAGCAGCTTCCTCAAAACTATATGTCTCACTGAAGCACTTGTGATTGCTGTCTCCCGAGGAGTCAGCAGCAGCTTCCTCAAAACTATATGTCTCACTGAAGCACTTGAGACTGCTGTCTCTAAAGGAGTCAGACAGGAATGTGGTGAAGTCACACGCGGCAGGTTACCTAACGACTGCTGTCTCCCAAGGCATCAAAAACACGTTTTTGCGTGCTTTGGCACCTGTTTTTGCTGTGGCCCCAAAAAACTACTAAGGATACTTCCAACCATTTTCGCAGACTTTGCATTGGCACGGCAGAGTCACAGCTCATGCACGCATGAAAAACTACTAACCCGTGAAATTGAAATCACAATGGCTTGGACGCAAAACTACTAAGGAATTCTGCCAATTGAAAAGAAATAGAAGAAAGTGTTTCCTTTTTTGTCCATTGAACAATTCCTTAGTAGTTTTGCCACCGAGCCAATACAAAGTTTGAAATTCCCCTTAGTAGTTTTCACACAGAAGCATAGTAGTTTTGCGGCAGAGCCAATATAAAGTTGTGACATCGTGCTTAGTAGTTTCACACCGAAGCATGCTAGTGTTGCAGTGGAGCCAATGCAAAGATTGACATCGCCAACGGCCAGTGAAGCATTTCATCTTGCAGCTGTGATGTGCCACCTGCCGTGACGGCACATGTGTTTCTTCCTAATTCAAAGGGCCTTTCCGGCCACATGCGGCCCCCCCCTGCACCCCCCGGAATCAAGGTTGACGAAAATGTCTTGCTGTGAAGACCTGACGCTTTGGAAGTTGGCTGCTGCAGTGATTAACACCAGGAAACAACATTGATCCTGGGGGTGCGGGGGGGAGCCGCTGCTGTGACCCTATACGTGGGGCCTCGTGCTGTGTGTGCAAAAGGTCTGAATTTGGGGTCGCTAACGGACGCTGATTTCAGCCCTCTTCATTGAGGGCCCTCCTTGTATGTATATATATTATATATATTATATATGTATATATTATATATATTATAGAATATATATATTATATTATATATATATTATATTATATATAATATTATATTATATATATATATTATATATATATTATATATATATACTTTATATATTATATTATATATATATTATATGTATATTATAATATATATATATATATATATATTATATATAATTATATGTATAATAAATAAATATATATATATAATAATATGTATATTATATATATATATCATAATATGTATATATTGATAGTAATAATAATAATTATTATTATTTATTTATTTATTTATTATATAATTATATATATATAAGTATATATATATGTGTATATATATATAAGTATATATATATATATATGGGCCATGGTTCCTCACGTCAGAGATGATCATTGACCAAAAGATTGAAGGGCCACTCGGCAAACATCAGTCCAACATTCCACCCCAAGTTCTAAAATTGAAATTAAACCCCAACAAGACTCCATAAAACTTCCTCTGTGCTGCTTCAACTTCAATGAGTTCCCCCTACAACCCCCCGGCGGTCCGAGCTGGCTGGAAGTACACCAAGGATCTCTTGCCACCCATGAGAGTTCGGGTTCCAGCTGAAGGTTAATGCCCAGGTAGGCCACAAACCTCGAGAAGCCACCAATTTCAGCTGGCTACTGTTGAAATGAGAACCTAGAAAGCATGCTTGAATTGAGTTGAAACTCTTCATTTTGCGGCTGCTTTGTTGGGGTATTTAACATGCTGACAGGGAAATGTGACAAAACATTTTATGTGTGTTGTAAAAAAATAGAAGGCCCAAAACATGAATGAAGGGGGTTGCCCTCATCTAAGGGTGACATAACTTGTACACCCTTAGATCTCTTCAAGGTGGTCTGGAGATGCTCTGGAGTGTTGCCACCTGCAGTTCCCGCAGTTCCCGCCGCGGTGACACCGGACTTGTTTTAACTGCTCCGCAGCTTCTTCTGGACTTTTTTCTTTTTCTTTCCTTCACTCTGATCCTGCAACTCCACAGGATTGGACCTGGCGATTTTCCGCAACCAATGTTAGATGTGAAAAAATTGCAGGTCCTTTATGGTCCTTTAATTTCTTGCTGCCCTCCAGTGCGATCTGGCGATTTTCCGGTTCTTTAGGTCCCATCATGTCCCATCCCACAGATCCAGAATCCAGGTCCTTCAACTCCTCTTTCTGCGGGCCGCTTAGGCCGCTTCCGTCCTGGTAACCCAAAAAAGATGCCGAAAAGTGGGACAGCTGCAGGAAGCGTTCAGTAAATATCACGCTATATCACACTAACCACCTTTTTTGTCACCATGTTTCGGCATCTTTTTGGGTATATCAGTCTGTTAAAAAGTCATCCGCAACTTCTTTGGAGACCACAGATCTAGGCAAAGACTGAACCTAGCGCCGCGATCGATTTGCTTCGACTTGGGAAGCTGTCTCTATTGGTGGATACCCAGTGGATACCCCACAAGATGTCATTTCCACAAGCGACGACTTGGCCATCTGATTCGCTAGCGTCGCTAGATGTCCATTGAATGAATGGATGATGGGACCATGTTGAAACCCTGGACATTGGGATGGCTCAAAGGATTCTAAAAAAAACACGCGATGGCGATGGCATTTTCATGGACAAACCATGAACCAATGCTTTCAACCGCAAAATTCCCTCTAAACCAATCCATTGTGCCTGCTGAAATACATTGAAATACCCAAGTTTCTTGCTGAAATTCTAAAAAAAATTGGTGCGTGAAATCCCATCAACTCCCACATGTTACGGAAAAATCCCATCAAATCCCATCAAATCCCATCAAATCCCATCAAATCCTATCAAATCCCATCAATCCCATCATTTTCCCACGATTTTCCGGAAAATCGTCCTGCGTTGGCGCTGGCGCCTTTCGCTTAGCGCCCCTGGGTTTGAACTGCGGCGCCTGCTGCTTCCCCGCACTGGGCTTGCGCGGCTGGCGCCGACGCACGCGGATGGCGCGGCCCTTGTAGTCGATGCCGTCCAGAAGAAGAACCTCCCAGTTGAATCCCAAGCGGTTGGAAACCTAGTGCATGTGCACACACACACACACATATATATATATATACAGTATATATATATACAGTATATATATATATACAGTATATATAGATATATATATATATATTATGGGTGTAAATTAGATAATGAATAGATAGATACATGATGATACATACATATATGCACATATATACATATATATATATATGTACATATATATATATTATACATCTATTTATATGCGATTATACTTCACTAGGACGAACGTTTTTTCCTGTCTGCTGCTTCAGGACAAAGCCATGTATATCTCTGTGCGGATCAACGTAATGTGAGGGCCATAACTCGCGTGACCTGCGTGGTGGAAAGGTCAGGAGTCTATGGGGAAAGGGTGTTGGAAAGCCCAAGAGTAAAAACTTTTGTCCTGGTGGTGGTGTGTATATATATGTGTGTGTGTGTACGACTATAATCGACTATACATATACATATTTAACTCTAGACTAAGCAGCTTTACATATAGTTCTACCATGGTATTATATCTATATATAGATCTATAGTTACTTAACCATTATGACTGCAGGTTATCAAAAAAACACAGAACTGGACGATAACCTTCCCTCACAGAACTGAGTAAACCAGCCATGGTTACAGAACGGATGGGATGTTGGCGAAGATTGGCATAAACTCGAGAAAATGACAGGATTTGATATGATTTGATCTATCAAAATAATCAAGAAAGCAATTTGGTACAGCATGATTGAATCAAATGGAAAGTGAATTTACAGTATCATACAAAAGGTGCATCTAATCAGCCAAAAATTGGCCCTCGAATGCTGACAGGCCCCAACCACAGCTGATACGGCTCTTCGTGTCATGCGAAAACTGTGACTTTAACGAAGTTGTGGTTTTAATCATGAGAAAATGGGGCAAGAAATAGCAAGCATTTCTGAAGTTGGCTTACTTCCCTGAGTTCCTCCATGTATAGAATTAGCACTAATGAAGAACTCTCTCTCTCTCTCTCTAGGTTTTAGCAGCTCAAGGGATCAAAATCCTTCGGGGTGCTTCAGCGAAACTCCCATTACAGTAGGCGGTCACATTCGGGTTCTGAAAATTTCGCAGAGCCGCGAAATTCACACCACATCCCATGACCTTGTCAGCCACAGCAGGGTCTTTGTAGAAAAGGCAGGCGGTGCCAGCAGGCTTGTTGCTGGCATTCCTCAGCACCCTCTAGGCCCACGATTCATGGCTCAGATGCTCCATGGCTTCCCCCCCCATCGTTGGGCTAATCTTAGATACCCTGCTATTCTTCTTTAAAATCAAATGGTTAGGTTAATATAACTAACCTTCATCTAAGTGGCAAAAAGATGAAGTCGTTCCAAGCTAATGTAGTAAACAGATCATGATTGATCATGAATCATCCCAGCAACCATTTGGGGATCAGTTTGCATCATCTGAAATCGGGGTACGCCCAGTATATACACAATAATCAAAACCAAGTGGGGTGGTTATTGCCTCATTTCTCATTCAGTCGGTCAATGCTTCACCCTGCAGTCATGCAAATGTGTCCAGATGATTTGTACCATCCACTCGCTACGTTTGCACCATCATAACCCCTGGTTGGTGGTATACCTACCCCTCTGAAAAATATGAGTTCGTCAGTTGGGATGATGACATTCCCAACATATGGAAAATTAAAATTCATCCAAACCACCAACCAACCATTTCTGTATTCCATGGATACATCCACATGATTCGCGCACCAGGGTGAGGTCTACCCCCTTGTCCCATCACCTTCTAGGAGATGCTTTCTCCTTGGAAACATGTTGGAACCCAAGTTTCCAAAGCCAAATTCGTTCCAAATAAAATGCATTACTTGGAACTTCAACGAAAAACCATTGTTTACTTGGAAAACAGTTTACTATCGGAATTTTCACATCTGAACATCCCAACATCCTCCCCCTCCGCCCCCAAAACCCAACCCCCGCATGCAGCGCAGCGCCTGTGGAAGAAGAAGCGGCTCACTTCGCCGAACTTCTCGAAATCCTTCCGTAGCACCTCTTCGCTGACGGAGAAAGGAAGCTGGGAGAGGTAGATCTGGCCATCATTTCCTGAACGCGCGGCCAATCGAACGGTTCGCCCTGGAAAAACCATGGATTTTCCCATCTGAAAATAATAATTTCACCAAAAAATGGAGGATGTCCTGGGATTTATAGCTGATTCTGGTAGCAAATTCAATCTTGAGCGGGTTTAGCCTCTGGCAATTACATCACTCTGAAAGATCAGGGCTTCACCTGGTAGCATCGTAAATGGCATGGCAATGGATGCCATGCCAAGCCATGGCTATGTTGAAGAGGTAAGTTGCTACCCATCTGATGGAAAATCACCAGAGTATAAATCATCAAAACTACATGGGCCATAGCATCCATAGCAAACGGTTTTTATTTACCAGAGGGTAATCGAGACTATGAAGAACCAGTGGAGTTCTAAACAAATTGCAGGTTTATCAGGAAACAATGGATCTTGACCAGCAAAAATTGGGGGCGTATATGGGCTACGCCACGCCAGCAAAAATGTTGGTTCTACTGTGTTCTACTAACCAGCAAATTTGCTTGGCCAACAAAAAGGGTGAAGAACCATGGTTAGGAACTGATGTCTTATTAATATCACCCAAGAATGGAAGTCTCGGGGGGTTGTTTTTTATTACTGGGAAAATGAATCAAAGGAACAGGTGCAGTGACGGAACATCCCAAGTCGTGGAATCCTCTGGAAAGATGTAAGTCATCATGCAAAATACTCAGATGTTGGTTGGGACTAAAAATGATTTCCAAGATATGCTGGGGGAACATATCAAGCAAATATGCTGTGCAAAAAAACATATGAAGAAAAGTCATCATTGGGTGGAAATGACCAAAAAATTGACGCTTGGTGGTGTCAACACATCCGCAAAATGTTGGCCAACCCTGTATCATCATACCAGGTGATGATGAAAAATTAACACGATATGTACAGAAGATTTGCTTGACACCAGCGACCTGAAAACAGCCAAGCAAATGTTGAGTTTCGGGTACTTGCCGCCTCAACCTAAGCAACGGGGCAAACATTGGTCACATGATGTCACATTTAAAGAAGATGGCCTCATGTTTGTTGGAAGATGCTCTCTCTCTCTCTCTCCCTCTCTCTCTCTCTCCCCCGCTCTCTCTCTCTCTCTCTCCCTCTCTCTCTCCATCGCCATCTCGTCGAGTGAAGCTGCCAGACTAAGGCACTAACCCCACTAAATCTATAGTAATTCCATATTTACTGGGATGAACACTCCAAGATTAGTCCATGGTTAATCAATAAATAATCCATATTTCCCATCATATTCTGCCACAGGATGTGAGGAAAAAAAAACGTCCGACATGTCCTTACGGGTCATCTTGTTCCAAACTTTCCAGGACTGCATTTTGAAGAGCAAAGGCCAAGGATATATCATACTACTCTATATATATGTACATAAACGAAATATAACATAGCATTAGCATGTATATAATATAGAGTGATATATATATATATACATATTATGTGTGTGTGTGTTTACTTGTGGAATCATAATGCGTTACTATACGTATATAATATTATATAATATGTATATATCAACCATCCGAACACATGGGGGGTCAAATTGTCGCATGTTTCATGCCCAAAAATCCCATGAAAACTAGGCCTTGATCATGCCAAAAATGCCACATGAAAACTAGGCAACCATATATATATATTATATATATATATCCTTATATGTCATAATAATAATGTTGCATTGATAGAATAATAACTAGTGTTCATATAACTATCCTTATAACTAGTAGTATTTCTCCCACAGACCTCCAAGTTAGTGATCATGTTCAGAATAATTGGGTGACAAACCGGTGGCGATGGTTTTGAGGGTCACCGGGCGAAAAAGAGAACTCTTGGGAGGCGAACTTTGGCCGAGGCACTGGGCTGACGGTCTTCTTCTTTTTCTTCTTCTTCAGCTTCTCTTGCCCTTTTGATGTAGATCCTGCAGGGCCTGTACAATAGGGCACTGCAAGAAGGTCATTGAAATAACACCATTATATATTGTTACAAGTATACCATGTTATAGTTAAATTACATACAACCCGCGTATTAAATATAAACTCCACATACAGTCCATAGATAGTTCCACTTCTAGTTTTACTTCCATATCAGCTCCATATAGAAGGTCTATATAGTTCTAGTTCCTAGTTCCACTGGTTATAGTTAATGTAATAAAGTCATATAAAGCTTGAAACGGACAGTTATGGCATGTTATAGCTCATGTTTTGGATCAAAATATAGTTATAGTTATAGTTATACCACTGGTTATAGGGAAATCTCCACTCTTTTTATAGTTATAAAGTCAATTAAAGTCATATGTTTCATGTAAAGTCCACTGGTTTAGTCATATCAAATCCTCAGCCGGTGCCGCCTTTCGAAGCCACGCGCGCCATGGCCGCCTCGGCGCGTTGGATCATCTCGCTGGCGCGTTCGGACACGCCGTGGCCGGACACGCCGCCGTCCTGAAAACCATGGGTTTCCGGTGGATTTTTCCCAATCTGAGATATGGTTATGATAGATATAGAATATGATATAGACTGATAGATATACTGTAGAATATTCATAAAGATATATGGAACAGATTTGATAATGATGTTTTGTAAATATAGATATATGTAGATATGTAGCTATGCATTTATATGTGTAGGTATAAAAGTATATATATATATGTTGTGTGTTCATTTTTTGTCTATGATTGTTGTTTGTCTATATATTGACTCATCGTTGTTCCGATGCAAATATATCAAATTATATGTTGAAATTGTATATAGTTGCAGATGTCTAGCTATATAATCATACGTAGCTTTATCAGGTTTTATCTAGTTATACGTAACTAAAGTCATATATAGTGACTATAGTGATGGTATAAGTGTATAAATCTTAATCTTAATCTCTCTTGCAGTAATCTGGTGGAAAAAGCTTCACTTTTCGTTCATCCAATTTTTTTTGGTTGGGTGAGGGACGCAACTGCTTGCCTCACAACCTTGGCCTCCTGAGTTGGTCTTGGTAAATTATATCATGGCATGAGTTTGTCTGGGAAAGGGCATATGATGTAACCCCCAAAATGCCATCTCAAAAGGGAAATGTAGGGAACATTTTGAGAGATATGAGAGGCAGATTAAGGGGTTTAGGCGTGCCCGTGCAATTATTCCAAACTCATGCCAAAACCTACATCCTCAGGACCCTCAACAACAGGTGCGGAAAAACATCAAACAGATGGTCAAAGTGGGCGAACAAGCAAGGCCAAGACAAGCCTTAGCGACTGGTAGGTCCAAGGCTAGTCTAGTCAGTTGTTCTTAATTTCCATCTGGTGTGCAAAATGGAGGTGCGGGATGTGAGCATTTTGAAACTATGGCACTTCTCTTTATTCTTTGAGCTAAGTTCTTCATTTATTAGACCCAAAAAGGAAAGTGATAGATCATGATAGATCCAAATCTCTCATCAAGAAATGGATGAAATGGTGAAACCTAGGACAAAGCTGGGGGAGTCCTAGGGGTCTCCTAGGGGTCTCCGGGGTCTCCCAAGGGCACCGTTTTTCCACCCACAGCGATCTCAGCCATCTATCTCCTCGGAGTCGGACTCGAGCTCCGCATCCGACGAGCCTCCCAGGATGATCGGCTCCTGGGGAAACCCGGCGGCTCGAAAACCCACCCGGTTTTCAGGGTCTGAAAGGTGAAGAAACGGTAAAACCCATGGATAAATGTTGCGTAAATAGACGAATCAACGCGACAAATAAACACTTAAACATAATTTACACAATAAATATAAAGATACATGAAAAAACTCATGCAATAAACAAGCATGGTAAAAATTGTCCAGTTTTGACTTATGCGGGACACTATGGTAACCAAGGTTGATGCACTGGGAAGCGCTCGAAGGATCATCGCAACTAGAACTAGCAACCACCATGTCCATGTTGTCAACAAAAGGCAGCCCAGTGGGAACTACTCCCTGCCAGCACCAAATGGGAGCAACACAAAAAAAAAAGTGGACTATTACCATCTACATCCTATCACCAAAGTTTAAGCAGTTTGAAATCAACCATCAATAAAAGAAGTGCCCTTGATCAAGGTTGAGCTACCCAACATTTACCGAGTTTGACCCACTCCTGTAGCTCGGGCGGTAGCAAGGCATCTTCGCTTCTCTTCTGGTCTGGCGTGGCGTTTTTTTCCCATGAAACTCCACCATCTGGGTATTGGGCAAAACCTTGGCCTTCTCCGTTTCTACACTTAAACATGGTGGTTTACCCCATGTATTTTTACCATCTTTTGGTGAAAAAATGGAGGGCCTAGGTCCTAGGTATTTATCCATATTTGGGGATGAACATTTGCCCAGAATCCCCAACTTGGACAAACCCGAAACTTGGGCGATTTCTCCAGGAAAAGATGGCCCCAACATGAACTGAACCAAAACCAGCCGAGAGACCCTTGGACTTCTTCGACTTGGCGCCACCTTTCTTGATCTTCTTCACCATTGCGCCGGATGAGGATGGGATGGTTGGGTGATATGTTTCTGCCGCGAACTGGGGACCTTGGGGTTCACCCAACGAGGTATGGATAGATAAATGGTGAGATGTATAATTTGCAGACCATGTATTCAGTATATATTTATATATAGTTATTTATACATATATATATATATATACATATGTTTGTGATTATCATGTTTGTGTACGTACCTGCCTGTGTATGCATACATGCAATGCGTGTATGTAGTATAGCTGCAAAGTATATACGTTCGAACCCACCGCCAAAAACTCACGACGAATTGGCATTTGGCCAAGCATGCATGGGGGTTGTACGTAAGAAACATATCGGACAAAAAAATGTTGATATATTGTTGATATAGATTCATATCACCAATGCAAAGCTTGATAAAGCTTGTACAGAGTGGAGCACCGAGATTGACCAGCGGGCCATCATGTTCCTCACATGTTCATCAGTTCATCATAAAAAAATGTCGGATCATAGAGCTTCACCAACCAACCGAGTCGTTGCACGCGACAACTGGCGGCAGCTGAAAGCCAAAGACTGCAGGTAGCTGCATCCTTTGCAGAGTTTCACCAGGGATCGAAAAAAATCATGGCGATGGATTAATCCTTTTATTATATATTATATATTATTTATATTGTTTATATCTATATCTATAATTATCTGTATCTATATCTATATCTCTATATATATATCTATCTATATCTTGATATATATATATGTGTGTGTGTGTGGTTGACTTGTACTAATTCACCACACTGAAATCAGGTCATGGCCGCTGTGAGGCCCCGCTCCATCGCTGTGAGCTGATCTTGTCCTGGTGGGATCTGCAGTGCTCGGCAGCTCTTTGTCTCCTGAAAGAGACAGCGCCAGCGGACGCCACAAAGAACGGACGTCAACAAGGACACCGCCCCTGAACAAAACACGTGGTTCACTGGTTGAGTCTTCACTGGTTGAGTCTTCATTGGTGAGGGCTCTAAATTTGAGGATCAAATCGCCGTTCTGCACAGTTTGAGATCAGGTTTTCTTGCAAAATCTCAATTATTCTTCATCTTTGTTGCTTAAATCATGGGTTTTTCACCATGTTTCATAGTAAAATCCCTTAAACAAATCCAATCTTTCATGGTGAAATCCTCATTTTTCACCATATTTCACCCGTTTTTTGATGGCAAACTCCCGCCCGGACCTCCCCCGTTGCAGCAGTTTCCGCCGTTTCGGTGGTCCTTGAGGAATTCATCGGTGGCCTCGTCCAAGCGGGTGCCAATCCGTTCTGCCTCCGCCCCAAAGATGGGGCGCTTCGTATCCTCCATGGGCACCTGAAACGCGTTGGGGAAATCTCTGACTTTCTTGGGGGGATTTCACCAGCAACAAGTGGGGATAGATAGATACATATATGGCAGTGTGTCAAAACCTTGTACCCCTGTAGTTCACATCAAAATAGCTGGTAAATGGATGCTCATCCCCCTAAAAATGGTATTAATAGGTATTGATCCATACCCATATATATATATATACACACTGTTATATACTTATACGATCTTATACGAATGCATCTGTATATATAATGTAACGTAATGCAATGTAATGTGATGCAATGTAATCTTATGTAATGTGATGTGATGTAATGCAATGCGATGTGATGTAATGTATCTACGCCCTCCGTTTGTACCTTTAAAATGTTGTGGTATCCAATACATATATATATATATGTTATATATATGTATACTCTGCATAATACTGTAAGTGATATGTATAATACAATTATACATGATATATATATATATGTATTCAAATGGTTTGTGATATCCATATATATATATAGTAATCCAGGAAAAATAAGAAACGTTCATCACTACTCATAAGTAGGATTTCACTTCTCTATCTTTCTTTGGGGGGAGTTTTCATCAAGAAAATTGAGCATGACACAAATCAATATTGGCTTCGCAAGGAAAAACCCAAGGATTCAACAAACAGGTGATTTGGCAAAGATGGAGATCACCAACAAACAATGGGAACATATGGAAACTTATGGATACAATAATACAAAATAGGGATATCATGGTATATCACTATCACAAGGATCTACAAACAACCGTTCTCCCCGCAGTTGCAACCACCAAATCTGCGGCTGAGCACAATGAAATCAGCGCCTTAGGCGACCTAATAAAAAAGCGAATCTCCGAGATTCAATCTCGTCGAATCTTTTTGCATATCCTGCTCTATCTGATCTTCTCAAATCTTCACCAGCCCCATCCAGCGCCAGTGGATACCATGTAAATCCCCTACATCCACCCTGGTTTCTGGCTGGTGACCAACGAATCTCGTGTGGCCTCCGCGCCCCGCGCAGAAATCTGCGCGGCGAAAAAAAACGACGGCGCTGAGCAACAAAAGGAGGCCGCGGAGGGCGCACAAAGTGGTGGCACGGTGGATCTTCGGAGAAAGCCACTGACGAAGAATCCCCTCCCAATTTTTTTCACCCCCTCCAGAAACCATGGTTTAGTAGCGAATGAGTAGGGAATTTCCACATCATTGGGAGCATAGAATGGGGGTGTTCAACATGAACGGGGGAAGCACTGAAAATCCGAGTCATTCCCCATTGACGGCGACTCGTCTTGAGCAACTGCTGGATTACTATTGGAAATAATGGGATTACAATGGAATTAGATGGATTATGATGGATTCTAATGGATTTTTAAGGATTATCATGGATTATTATGGGGTTCACCAACAGCAATAGAGGATCATTATAATGGGATTGACCAACAATCAAGAAACGCAATGGATAAATCATAATACTTAACCAACCTAAAAAGAATATAATTATAAACATGCCAGCGACTTCTCAATGGGATCGAATGAACTTTAGCCAGTTTCTTGGAATGATCCAGGCAGGAAACATGGAACTTGATGGAACATGATCCAGGCAACAAAAGCCACCTCTTCCCCCCAGCGCTTGAAGAAGAATTCTCCCAGAATCGGCTGTCAGATCTCAAAATGTGTCAAATGGCGTTTTCTGATAGCCGTAAGCTTCTGAGAAAGTCAAGGGAAATGACATGCCTCGATTTCAGCCACGAATTTGGGAGCTGCTTCCGCCTCACCCATGGCCAAACCCCCAACCCCCTGAAAAATTGGGCCTCAAGGCACGAGGTGAGCCAAAGGTCCCGAAGCGCGAGAAAATGGCTGCGCAAGTCGGGGATGGTAGGAAACTCCCATGAGCCTGGATCAACCTGGATGTCGCAAGTCGTTGTGACGCTTTCACGACTTAAGTTACTTTACGTTTTTCAAAATCTCCCAGGTTTTTAGTGGTCAAAATCAAAAAACACAAAACAAACTTACCACACCATTAACACTAGTACTGTCAGTTTTTTGATGCTCATCAACATCACCCATGACGGATCCATGGTGCTGGTATACCCTCCGGTAAACTAACATAGCTATGGAAAATCACCACTTTCAATGGGAAAATCCACTATAAATCACCATTTTCAATAGCTGTTAAATTACCAGAGGGTATATGCTAACATGACTGGGGTTTTTGTTGATGGGATCCATGTTACGATGATCCCAGGTGGATCCAAAAAAAGCTGCCCGACATACCAGTCCCATGGCTGGCTCCACTAGGACTCGGACTCGATCATCCCATAAAAAAACACCACTGAAATGAGGAGCTTCCCTTGATTTTCTCAATATTCTTGGTAAATCTCATGGTGGTTAATGAAAATTGCTGGTTGAATATGGTTGAATGATATCCCATTTTAAGTTGATTGCATGATATATTGGATTTTAACTCATTAAAACCTCCATTTTCAATGGATCCTTCGAGGATTTTCCAACGCCGGGTCCATGTTTGATCACCGCTGCGGGGGACTCCGACCAGTTCTCCACAAAGCTCTCCAGGTCCACGGTGTCACACTGGCAACAATGGCTTGCTGGGACATCCTCTCAAAAATGAACCTTTTAATGTGTATACATAATATACATAGCATATATATGTATATAGATATAATTTGATATGATCTGATTTGATATGATATGATATTCTGATTTTGTGCATAGATAATCTTACCAGAAACGATGATATAATGTATATATATCGTAATCATCGTGTGAATCAGTGAATATGTAATCTAATACAATCTATATATATATATACAATAATCATATTTAATTGCTAATTACTTTCAAGGGTAGTGACTTCGGTCCAACGAAAGTGATCCAATGGCGCATTCAGGCGTAGCGTCCTCACATGAACACGGTTCAAATGTCCCCACGATATCCCCTTTCCTAGGTGAGCGATTCTTTTGCTATTTCAATGTATATATATATATAATTTATAATCTCTTCGATAGGTGGTTTGGCACCTATTCACTCCCCAAATTGGTAAAACACCTCGTATAACACAGTAATTACTGACTATACCAGTGACGTTGAGGATTGACTACTTAGACTTAGTCCTGCCCAACAACAAAAAATCATCAGGGTTGCTACCAACACTCCAGATATCAGGGAGGAAAATTGCGTCAACTAAAGGGGTCAAAACAGCAATTTCCACCTTTTCAGCCAATAATCTACCTCTGAGGTTGCACAACCCTGATCATCCTATAATTTTTCCTTTCCAACCCCCTCCCCAAAAAAAAAAAAAAACTTCAGTTTTACCTTCTCAACCACCACAAAAAAAAGGAGAAATCTCCGCAGCGACCTTCGCATCCCAGATTCTGCGCGCAAAGGTGTGCAGGATTGGGTCAATGCCTCAGGTTTTTTGGAGTCAACTGGGCAGATCCACAAATAAACCCATATGATCCAGATTCATCCAGATTCCAGATCATCTTCCAGATCATGTTCCAAATCTTTAGATGAAAATGATCAACCAGGTTGATGTTCATCTGTTCATCTTCCTTTTCATCTATTGTTCCAGATCATGTTCCAGCTCGCTATATCACCAAGAAGGGCCGCCTGCGAGGTGACACCAGTCAGTGATGTTAGTTGGCTAACCAAAATAAGTATATATATATACATGTTAATAGATATATATATATATATGTATGTATGTATGTATGTATGTATGTATGTATGTATGTATACATATTAATAGATATATATATATATATGTATATATATACATATATATATATTTATTTAGTTATGTATGTGTGTATAGGCATGTGTATATATGTATATGTATATGTATATGTAAATGTATATGTATATGTATATGTATACATGACATGCATATATATATACATATATATATATATACATATATATACATACATATATATATATATATGTGCGTGTGTGAGTGTATATGTGTATATATATGTATGTGTATATGTGTATATATATATGTGTGTGTGTGCGTGTATGTATGTAAATAAATATATATATATATATGTTTATAAGTCAATATGTATATCTATATATGTATATCTATATATGTATACATATATATGTATATCTATATATGTATATCTACATATGTATATCTATATATGTATATCTATATATGTATGTCTATGTATATATATATAGCCTAGTTATCCCTAGTTATTCCCTACAGAGTATTGTAGTTATTGTAGTTCTGTTCGCCAACACTACCGAACTCGGGCACCACCGGGCCCAAAAAACATCAGCAAACACGACTGCTAGGCTTCAGGCCAACTGTCGTTCCTGGACGAAAGTTGTGGACCACCTCCTTGTCAGGAATGAGGTTGATTCGCAAATGGAAAAAAAATGTGGATTTCACCAATTGAAATTGAGAGTCAGCAAACATTGTGATTTCACCAACAAGAATTGGAAATAACCAACATACAGTACATTGGGGTCTAACTCCCAAACTGTGGCTTTAGCAACCGCCAGAAAGTGCATTTTCACTGGTATCACCGGGAACCTTAATCACCACATTGCACCTATCCTATCAAAACAGTCACAGAAGCTCAAGCCTGCCCCTTCCAGCCAAATTTTACCGTCATCAAGCTGCAAAAAACAGCTCATATCGCAATGGTTCCCCATTTGGGGGGAAGAAAACATAAAGCTGCTTCGGAGAAAAAATGCTGGTAATATAATATAGACCTACTTCATAAAATGCGTACGCATATATGTCTGCATAGCATTTTAAATATATTGTATATATATATGTGTGTGTATGTACGTACGTACGTACGTACGTACGTACGTACGTACGTACGTACGTATGTATGTATGTATGTATGTATGTATTGTGTGCATAATACACATATATTGTATATATATATATATGTGTGTGTGTATGTATGTACGTACGTACGTACGTACGTACGTACGTATGTATGTA